AAAGTATGTCTCTTGCAATAGATGATTTGAAAGCATACACAAAAAAAATGACAGCTCTATTCAAGCACTTCATTACAGTCCAGAATACTAGTTTCCTGGGAGTGACAGAAATTTAAACTAAGGGCAACGTACTATGATACCTGATCAGTTCTTAGAAATATCCCATTGCCGTGTGCTGGGCAGTGCCGAGTGGCTGGCTGTGGATTTCTGGACGGGTGTATCCAGCTCAGGATATGTCTCTGCACTCTTTTGCAGCCAGTGCTCACTCTGCTTACTCCAACGAATTGACTGGAACCTGCATAACTGACTGCAGAGTTGAGATGAAACATGTCTTTTTAAAAGCTCACAGAACTTGGTCAGGTAGCTCCTGATCATTGTCAGAGTAGGAAACTGCCATGTATATACAGACAATATTTTGGCTGTGATCTTCCTCCACTGAACTTATAGTATATAGTAATAAAGGAGAAATGCTCAGGGAACTGTCCTTCCACTTGTTTTGAGTTGCAACAGAAGAGCAATAAAATGACCAAAAAACATTTGTAAATAATTCCTCCCCCACCCCTCTTTATAGATTCAATCTAGTCTCTAATAAGTTACTTCTGTTCTTATTAACAGCTTTATCTATAATGAGAATTAAGATAAATATTCTGTGGAGCACGAGCGTGTTTCTGTTGGATCTGTATCTTACACTTAAGAATGCTGCTAAATGTATAAATTCATCTTCATAGACTGTCCAGAAGAGACTCTTAAACTTCTGTCAGAGGTCTGGGTCTGTGGATTTCAGACACACTGAGTACTTGTGTTAACATAAATATTTTTGTTACAGAGGACTGTAGGTTGTTTTGAAGTTATCATGTGAGCTCCTTGGTTTGTCTAAAAAATCTTAAGTTTTTGTTTGCTCTTCTGGCTAAAGGTCTGCCTTGATTTTAAGCAGGTGTTGACACATTAAACCTGCATGTTGCTTTCTTCTCTGAAATCCTTCAAAGACTACTGAAGAGCAGAGTTTCCTTTTTGTTCTGGTAGCCATTTGATTCAAGACTTACCTTGCCTGCCAGTGAAGTATCTGCTAGTGGTGTCTGTCCTGCTTGTGTGGTGGAAAGTAATTCTGAAGCAAGGTGAAGTCTGGATGACTTAGTTGGTAACTTTAAATTCTGTTCCTCCAGTTGGTACAGACTTCTGAGTAGAGTATTAAAACAGCATATCTAAATGGAGGTCTAACTGTGCTTAGTGGTGTACCTTCTTTCTAATTCACCTTGCTTCTCATGATCGCTTTATATGAATGAGGTGGATTGGCATTGTCATGTCTGACTGCATAATTTTTTTAATGCAACTTACTGATAATCATCTTGCTTTTAATTAAATTTAGTTTGCAAATCCAAGTGTAAATGGCTTCAGACCGCCTGGAATAAAATACAGGGCTTCGGAAGTCTGTTCCAAAGGATATATGGTTGTCTGCAAGCACCTGTGCTGAAGCTCCTTAGGTGGTGATATAGTTTCATCAGTGTTTACTTGAAAGTGGTGATTTCCTGCCCCCCCCCCCCCCAAAAAAAAAAAAAAAAAAATCTTTGTTTAGGCTAGAATTGGCTGGTTTGATATACTGCTCTTGGAGAATCTTTCTACTTTGCTCACCTTCCCTTAAGCACTGCTGGAATATTCCTTACTGGCTGAACAGCATCAGTACCTCATATAATGTAGTTGGTAACTGGAAAGCTTTCTAATCATTTAGCTTTGCCTTTTTTCTGTTCTTCAAGAAATAAAATTTTCCAGCCTTGATAGCTTCCCCCAAGATTCCTAGAAGTAGCTGTGGAGGTTGCCAACTGAAATATTAATCACCAGGGTCTCTAGACTGAAGCTTGAATATTCTAGTTGAACTCCAAAGTCAATGTTTGTAGAATGGGCTGTGATTGCTTGGTTCTTTGCAACACACTGGCATCTGGGTCCCTCTGGATTGAGACACAGTAAGTGTTTTGCTTACCACTGCAGCCCCACCTAGGTCCAGCTCATAGCAGAATGATAACTTGGGCATTTTTCTAGTTTGAGTGTTGAATGGTTCTCTAACTGGTCATGCTGTGACAGTGGACTCTTTGGTGGAGTCCCTGCAGCTGTCTGCTTGTGTGGCATGGCAGGACAAGTCTGAATAGGTGACTCATAATTTCTGAACTTCTGCAGAACCTGAGAATCTATGAATTAGTACGCTCATGCTCTACTTCTTTTCTTTTACAGTTTTGAAGAAATCTATAAGTTTCAGCGACAGATTCTTAGAGTGAAAGATCGCGATGAGTTTCCTATGATTCTAGTTGGTAATAAAGCAGATCTGGACCACCAAAGACAGGTAATTCATTTGCTGTTAGTTACTGCTCACTTTCTTCTAGAAACTTTACAATTTTCCTCCAAAAAACAGAGTGGGAACAAGAAACAAATGAAAAAAGAAATCATATCATACTAATTCCAATCCACGAAGCACAACTACACTCAGTTTTTGTACTTGAAGAATCTTAGAAGCATGATGGCATTGCACATACAGCACATCTTCTGTCTGACTCAGTGGTGTTACGTTGAGACTGAATCTATTCACAGAATTGAGAGCTTTCTGTCATGACTTGATTACTCAGGCATGAACGTGTCCAATTCCTCCGTTCTGTTACTCACCATAGCATGCGGTGCCAAGCAGAGTGCATTCCAGCACTAGCTCTAACCATCCTGAGATCTCAGTGCTGTTACTTTTACCATTCACTGCTCTTATGTATAAATAAGTAGCCATTTGCTGTTTTCTATTTGGCCACTCATCTTCTGCATAACTGACTTCAAGCTTTAGAAGCTGGAAGTACAGCAATACAATAACTGTTGTATTTATGTACCTTAAAATTAAAAGTTTTGAAACAAGTAGATTTCAACCTCACCTCTAGTTGTAAGAGAGCTTAAAAGACTAGTTTAGAATGATTTGAAGAAGGAGACTTGAATTTGTTTTCCCTACTTACTCTTGATTTTCATGAATCAAACTGATTTGAACTGAAATTCGAATAATCTTACTATATCAGCA